TCTTACATCTTTTTGTATTAAAATCGAACAGTTAAGATGCAAATCAAAGAATGTAAATTATATGGTGGAATATGCAGAATATGAATACGTAAGGTGTGCATAATGCAGAAGTCTGGGATAATTTTATTGTTATTGCCTAGTGGGCATTAACATAGAAATTTCCCTGGGGCGTTAACCGTGAGATTTTCATTCATTTTCTCCACACTAGTTTTTTTTTTCCTACAAAAAATTGATTCATGCTTACATTACAGTAACACTCTAGACATCTGCATGAGATCACACCAATGTTCCTGCTATATTTCTGATAAATAACAGAGGGGTTTCGTAGATAGTCATGAACATGTTATAAAAACTGATATATTTATGTTCCAAAATGGTGCACCTATAACCAGGTTTAATCTAAGTAAATATATACATAGATTTTACAAAAAGAAACAAGTGATTGGAAAACTTGAAATACAGAACATTTACAATTACTATAACTCATAACTCAGTGTAGATACATTTGCCCGGTTTGTCAATGTTAATAATCCACGAAGAACTGTTGAATGGCCTGAGCATATTCTTAGCAGTCAGCAGTAACAGCCATTTATCGAAGTCAAACAATTACAACGCCTCACATTTCAACCCAACTGCAACAAAACAAGTTGGCCAGCAGATCTGGCATTTCAGCATACTCAGTTGAAACTAGTTTGGCAATCAAATTACTGGTAGACAACAGAATCATGTTACAAAGGACACTGTCCGTAAGCAATTCTTTCGTACTTTTTTTAGATTGAACATGTTTTCCACCATGGATACCGTCGGTGGCAGCGCTATAAGCTTATAGTTGTCCTACAAGCTATATGGTTGGGGCGTAAATGATAGCAGAGGTAATATGGTACGGAGGTAAGATCAAAGCTAACATGCATATCAAGTAATGACATGAGCATTTGACTACAATGAAGTAGTCAAATTTAGACATAACAGACATTACAAGCAGATGCCAACCCCTTTTAGCAAAACTAGTATAGTACCCGCGCGATGCGCGGATAAATTATAAGAAAAGAATAGTGTACAGAGATAATAAAAATATATGTATATTGCAAATTAGAATTAGCGATCGAATACAAAAGGAGTAAAATAAAAAATAAATAGATGAATTTTGTTTGGAGTAATATTGGTGGCTAAGTATGAATGAATTCCATGACAGTACTATTCGGAGAAACTCTCCCAAAACCTGTGAAGCTAGGTCAGACGTATGGTGATCTCCAACACCTATAACGAAAATTTAAAACTCAAACATCAAAATTTTGAGTATAATTTATAACGCAAGAAGTCATATTGAATAGCATTTCATTGTTTACCTTATTTATGTTCATCGATAAAATGAAGCAACTTGACAGATAGATAAAGTATTTATCTTTGGTAATTGATGTATACTCTATATTTTTTTACAGAGTATCAACGAAGAGCATTAAAGAAAAAACAAATGGTCTGAGCAACAGAGAAAGATCAGATGGTCCTTTTACTTTCCTTCGCAAATGTTGTTATGTAAGACTGTGATTGTATCCACATTCATTCCAACACTGAATTATAAGGTGCATGCCTTCCACATTGATGGAACAATTATTGTTTTTATTGCAAAAAATGTGGATTGTACCACATAATATATCGTTTCCAAGAAGATGGTCTCTGTAATAAATGGTTAAATTTATTTTTTTTATTTGGAGATTAGCATGCACCTGCCATCATGAAAGTATTTTAACGCATATGTTGTAATGTTATGAGTTTTTGTAATTGGTGACTGCTCAACTCTACCTATAGGTGTTGTGTGATATGGATTCTGAACGATAGCTGCTGGTTTTTTTAATTATATTCTGTAGGTGATACCTTTCAATTTTACTCATAATTCATCGCTATACAGTAGTAAGATTTAGTTTATTATCATATGAAATAAGAGAAGGCAATGGATCCACCTTCAACCACAGTAAGAAAATTGCATAAAGGATGGGAATACCTATTATAGTGATTCCAAATACTATTAATGTTTATAGTCTACCAGGACAAATTGATATCTACATAAGAACCTCTCTAGGAGACCGTGTTGTTAAACTTTATAGTCGATGTTTTATACGCCATGGGACGAAAATCAAGTCGTGTACAAATTATTGTTGTATGTTACTTCCCAAACCATTGCCTCGTATGAAAAATATAAATATCTATTTTTAGTTTGACTTATCGAAAGGAACTTAAGTTAAGTTAAAATTTTCATTTATAAAAGTATACTGTAGTGAAGCATATTTTGGACGAATTCATATTTGTAACTACCTAAATAAATATATATTCCTCATAAATTTTTGATTTCAAAATAGGCAAAACAGATTGTAAAGTATTACTATACATGAGAAATATATATAATCAAGTAAAGAGCGTAAAGTAATGTGTTTATTCATGTTTTTCCTTATTTAAGACATTGGGTATCTTGTTAAAGTTGCATTATTTAAAGGAATAATTTAGTGTTATTATTTTATGTTATACTCTTAAGAAACAAATAGAGTAAAATGAAAGATAATGTTGCAAAGAAATAACAAACTTTCATTAATTTTAAAATTTAAAGGTAGTTGTACAGACGGTTCTCCCACTCAGCTTCAAATTTAACAACATAAACCCAAAAAGGTTCACTTGGCCAAACCTCGTGATAAATGTCAGTTAAAATTATACCTAACGGTTGACCAAGTGAATCTACTAAAATTACTAAGGCTTCCCAATCAGATAGTATAATTTTGTCTATAAAATCAATTAGTGCATCTCGAGTAACCTGATAATTTGCAATTTGTTCATCTATTGAAGGCCTAAGCTCTGTAAATATTTTTTCTCTTTCCCTTCTTTTAGCCCTTCAATCTCTTAATTTATTTTGTATCGCCGTTGGGATTTTCCTGATAACTTCAGCCTTTGAGTCTGATTTATTATAGGAATAAATGCTGCGATGGCGTACCCTTCTACGTTGTCCCCTTTGTTGAATTTGAGAACTCGTAGTTGGATTAATTTGAATGTGTCCTTGTTCAGCCATATCTGAAATAAGACCAATTAAACAATAAGAATCGCTACAACATATCCTTGTGATAATATAGGACATACATATTATTTGAAAATATTGATGGATTTATACAACTATTTTAAAAGACATTGTCAAGTTAATAAAGGACAAATATGTGTAGTGGATATAAAGCTTCCTTGGTTGACCATCGAACGCCAAAAAAAATAAACAAAACTTTGCTGTAGTTGTTTCGAATGTTAAAGGAGATGAGAAGAAATTGCGAGACAAATTCTGTACTTCTGAAAATTAAAGGAAGTGTAAAAACTTTATAACTTTCATCAATTCTAGCCATGTAATGACTCAGTCAAAAACAAACTTGTAATGACTCAGTCAAAAACAAACACCACATTATGCTAAATTACGATATGAGTATTTAGGTACGCAGCGTAATTTAAGTCAGTTTACTAATAAGATGATAACACAATTACAGTTTTACATAATAAATTACCCCAATCACATAAAATTTAGTATATTCATGTCCATGATTCTATCCTATATTGCAATAAAAAACAGTAACCATAAGTGATATAATTGGTGTGGCGTGTTTGGATGTTTGAGTATTAAATAAAAGAGTTGAATTAGTTAAAAGAAAATCGACATTCACTATTTTATGCTGGTATATTTATTGACCAAACAATAAAGCAAAATTGTATGCAGCAGAAAATTACACATGTAATAAGTAGAACAACCCCCTTTGCTGATACTTGACTGGCTCAAAAAATTAGCAGGTGAAAACATGTGCAGAAGAGTTAGATGAAGAACAACTAAGATGATTCATATATATGCAATACAAAAAACAGAAAGATAAAGAAGTAATAACTCATACCTTTCATTCTCCCTCATTTTTACATACCATACTTCTTATGTCAAACAATTCGTATAAAAGTTTCGACAAACCAATTCCAAAGTGCCTTTTCAGTCATTTAAATATGGTAATTTCAAGTATGAGTATTAGCTATTAAAACATAGTACTAACGTATTTTCCTATCAACATAATGTGAAGCATAAGCAATAGGAAATATTGTCACAGAACTGTAACCAAAAACCTATATTAAACTTAAAAAATAGTTTTCCAAATAATTTATTCTAAAAACACAGTCTTTACGAAAAAAGTCGGGAATACAGTTATTCGAGAAAGAGCATATTTAAACATCAATTATGTAAATCGTAAATGTGCAAACAGTGCATTAAACTTCATACCTTTGTTATTGGGCGAAAATTTTAAGACTTGAGGCTATCCTGATTTTGCAGAAATACTTGTTACGTAATACTCTTTTATCAGCTATTCTTGTTTTAACGCCTCCTTTATTATGTGCTTTTATAATTTTATGTGATTAGTGTAGTGGGGAAGTGGTTATAGTGGGGCATTGTGGATGATTTGTGAAGGGAGATGTGAAGTAGTGGGGTGGAACATGAGGATTGTTGGATGGGAGTGGGAAAACGTGTGGGCTATATGATAAGAGAAAGAACTGCATTTTCAAACTTGTGTAAACGAAAACTGTAAGGAAAACAATTTGTAGAACAACGTAAGTTCTGATATCCGAGTAACATTTTATAAAAAGGCTAAGAAATTGGGTATAAGCAGAACAAAATTTTCAGTTTTTTGTTTGAATGCTATTACGTTGAGTACAACAGTAAGTTGATTATAATTGTCAAAATGATGTCCTGGTTAGGTTCACACGTTGAAATATTTATAACGTAATGTATATAACTCGGAGCACTTTCACTATTATCAGAATGACGCCTAAATAACGAAAAGAAATAACAGAGTTTGCAACAAACTTGTCATATCGTATACTTATAATACGAATGGACCTATTGAGTAGCAAAATAAACAGATGGAAATGGTCGTGTCATATGTTCGTATTCGACAAATTTTTTCAATGAAAATGATTATGTATTGGTGTCGAAGTAAATACAAACTAAATCGCAAAGTTTGGGAGAAGGGAAAACATGAAATGATACAAATATGTTGTTTATAACTAATAAACTACTAAAATAACTTATAACAGCATGATTTTTTCGGCTAACTGTTACATATGCAAAGATCATATGCTGTTTTCTTCTTTATATACATTCTGTCGATATTATTTCCAGAAATCTGTGCATTCGGATCTTCTCGAACAACTGTTGCAGCAATACATGTACCTATCTTGGCTGCTCTGTTAGCAATAAAGATCAACTCGTTATCTTCATTAGAGCCCTACAAATTGTTTAAAAAAAATAAATTGAGCTTCAGTAGTAAACCTGTACTTCAATTTACTTTGTAAAAAGCAAACAAAGTAGAAGAAGGTTCAGTAGATGTTTCTTTACATACTCATAGTCACTCTTTGTACTCTGTTAGCTTCTGTTCTTGAAGCTCCTTTTGTAATTTGGATGTTAAGAAAATTAAAATAAGTTGACGACTATTGCCAAAAGTTGACTGGAATACAAAAATATTAGAGTTTAGTTCAATAAAACCATACACGAAAGAGAAAACAATAAAATTAAACTTGGTGATTTCTAGCAATATTCTTAATCTTTAAAATTTTATTATGTTAAGATCAAGTATTAGAAACCTCGGACAGGAATTGAGTGTTTGGTGGTCGCTCCCATGTAGAAGGCGTGTGCCAACGAACGTGCTGGTCAATCAGGACGACCAGCTCCTGCGCAGTAATTGAGGTTATAGACTCCGCATAGATACATGAACGATTAGGAAGATAACACAGTTCCAGAAATACAAATGATTTACCTTGCAAATGTTGTGCTGTTACTCAACAGAATTGTGAGTTAAGAGTTGATGAACTTTTGACTTCAAATATACTCCAACAACTGAAGCGATAATTAAAACTCTGGATCTGTTGTTTAAGGTTCGGGCCTTTGATGAGGATGCTAAGTTAACAAAAGTGGGTGGAAAAATGGCTCACTTTCCTTTGGTTCCATGCTGTGTAAGTTGATTGTTGCCTCTAAAAAGTCGAACTGCTCTGCGGAGATAATAACAATTGCTCCATTTCTTTTTGTAGGTAATTAACTGTTGTATCATCGAAAGGACTGACAACTCCAACATGACAATTTCGCTAATTACATGTAAATATTAATAATATATTAAAATGATAGGCAGAAAATATAATTATTAGAATTTTGAGGTAAAAGCTATATGTACCAAATAATTCAGTGTCGTCCACATCAACCTTAGTTATCAATTGGTTATATGGCCGCAGAACAAACACATCCATTGGTAAAAGTGGATCACATGTTTCAGCAAAGGTTGTATTCTAAGTAAATGTGAGGGCTAAATTATTTTTTTGGTTATGAACTTGTATGTATTGTGACAAACGCTAAAGTTCGCTATAACATATAATGCAAACTCATTAAGTTCTGTTTTGGAAAGATGCATATGAGACATGCCATATCTGATCTCCGAGTCCATCAAGCGTTGCAACACTTGTATTAATAGATATCTTCTGTTTGCAACTGAACATGTCATAATAACAACAATGTAGGTTTATTGGGAAAAAAGGAATGAAGACCAATGTTTTTCCGTTTCCTACTGATATGTGTTTCTATCCGTACTGCTGCAGATGAACAGTTCATGGAAGCTATAAATCGGCAATGACAGAGATACCAATGATGGTAACTTAGTGGTATACAGAAGTTGTGGCATGAGCCACTTTAATAACAGCTAAAATGTAGCAAGATACATGAGCTCTAAATGGTTGCCAATGTATTGAAACAACAGAATGATTGTGGGTTTGTTCTATAATGTCGTGTTCCAGGAAAGCTTTTGTGACGACCCAAAGGGTCATCACCTGTTTCCTCATTCGTTCTGTGCTTCCGAGGCCTTGGAAACCTCACCTTTGGTTGCCTCGATTTGCGTGCGCACTCCGGGCGCGAAGCCGGAAAATTTTTTATGTTAAAATATATGAATTCTGTGAAAAATTTGGTGAATTATGATATTAATATTGATATAGTTGACTTTGGTCAACATTTTGGGTAAACAGACGCGGACCAGTGATGTGACGGTCCCGGGAGGTCCGTTGAAAAATATGGGACTCGGGCATATGCCCGGAGTCGAAATCCGAGGTCCAGAACCCCGGTAAAAGAATTTTTCTGATAAATTGTTTTCTGAAATTAATAAGGAAAAATGGAAATGAAAATGAGTTAGAAAATATAGGTATCGGGCTCGTATTTTGGTTCCGACGCCTGCTACAGGTCTTAAATATGCGTTAAGCGCTTCCTGTGAAATTTGGTCGAAATCGGACGTCGTTTGACGTGTTTCGGACCTAAATAGCTAAAGTTGAAGGTTTATGAACTTTGAAATGAAAATTTTGAGTTTTGGGGGTTGATTCTTTGATTTTGATGTTATTTTAGCGATTTGATCGCTCGAGCAAGTTCGTAGGATGATATTGAGTTAGTGTGTGTGTTTGGTTGGGAGCCTCGAGGGCTCGGGAGTGTTTCGGAGGTGGTTCGGGGTGTTTTACACTTAGAAAAGTTAGCAGATTTTCTGCAATTTTTGCTCAGGCCTTTTCTTCTTCGCGATCGCGGCCTTAGGCTCGCGTTCGCACTGCTCATGGTGTTCCCCTTCTACGCGTTCACATCTCCATAAGCGCGATCGCGTAAGTCAAGTTCAGGACCCCAGAGACTTCCTCTTCGCGTTCGCAGTCAGATGTTCGCGAACGCATAGACTTGCTGCTCCCTCCATCGCGTTCGCGAGGCCTTTTACGCGTTCGCATAGAACAAACCTGGACCCCCAGCATTTTCTTCTACGCGTTCGCCTTCCCCTTCACGCGAACGCGATGCCTGCCCATTTTCCTTCATCGCGAACGCGACCGGGGTGTCGCGAACGCGATGAACAATTTTGCCCAGTTATTTTAAAAGCCTAAAAACAGTAGCCATTACGGGATTTTGCCATCTTCTTCACACGAACCTCTCTCTCAAATCCTCCATAGACGAAATTCAAGTTCCCTTTCCTCCACAACTCGTTGGGTAAGTAATCCTAACATCGTTTCCTCATTATTTTATCATCTAATCACTAAATTCTAGGCCTAAAAACATGAAATCAAGGTAGAAATTATGGCTTTTGGGTAGAGTTAGGTTTTTGAAAATTTTGGGCGATTCAACCTCAATTTGGGGTAGGTTCTATATCACGTTACAGCAAGGCGTCACGAACCCCGGAATTTTTCCCACCGATCGGCGTCGTGGATGGCGCCTACTAAACGGAGCTAGGCCACATACATTAAACATCTCGCTATTGCAATCCTCAACATATATTTATACTAACAACAGTTTAAAGAAATGCGGAAGACTTAAGTTAACAAAAAGGATATAAAAATGCGGAAGTTTGAAATACATCCCTACCCAAAATCTGGTGTCACTAGCTCACGATACTATACGAATACTAACAAGTCCTGAATGAAAGAAATACACATGTCTGTTTTTCGTACAATAAAAACAAACTGAAATAAGGAAAGGGACTTCGCCTGCGAATCGCCAGCTAGGCTAAACTCAGAGAGTCCCTGACCGAAGATAGCTCCCGGATAAGAATCCTACTGCTGCTATCCAAAAGATGCTCTGATCTTGTGCACAAAAGAAATGCACAGAGTGTAGGCATCAGCACAAAGACCGACCCCATGTCCTGGTAAAGTGCCTGGCCTACACCCCGGCGAAGTAGTGACCGAGGCTCAACAGGACTACCACACCAACCTGTACAATGGTGTTTATATACAAAATTATGCAATAAAAAGGAAAAGAAAATACCAAAAACTAAACAGTTAAAAGGGAGGGAAAACATGCTATGGAAGAGTACAATTTTTGGATATAAAGGTTCATCCAGAGCGTGATTATAAACATGGCACAACAATAATTAAATCAAAATAAGAAATTCAAATAGTTGCCACGCATCACCGCTTCGTGCTTTTTACTCTAAATCTCACCCAAAGCAATCAAATAAATATGCGCGGCACTCACCACCTTCGTCTTTCCCTCACATAGCATCTATTCACGGCAACGAAGGACCCTTCGTGCAAAATATAATCAAATCAGAGCACGGAATGTACCTTCCTGCATAATAGTGTCAAACATAGCACGGAATGACCCCTTGCGTGGCAAATAAATCGAAGGAATCAGCACGGATGACCCTTCGTGGCAAATGTAATCAAGAATAGCCGGAATGACCCTTCGTGCAAAATGTAATAAATGCACGGATCGACCCTGTCGTGCAATTTCCACTCTTCACTCACCCAAAATAACAAAGTCACAACAACACGGCAAGATGAATGAACAAGTATAATGAAACTATCCCGGCTAAGGGAGAGAACAACAACAATGAACAAAAGACCCGGTAAGGGAACAATAACAACATCTTGTCACAACCCAGGAGAAGGCGCAAATAGCTCATGTAATATGCACAAACCATATATTGTCGACTGATCGGTCGAGGAGAGAGAGTGATCTTGCAGTTTATATAAGTAGGTCACGCGGTGTGTTACCGTGCCACTCATGAGTGAGTGTGTGGTGAGAGTCACCAGGAATGCTTGACCAAAATAAGTGTGAGTATTTCTACAACTTATCCGTCAAATCTTCACAATTGTGAGAATAGCAGTGGTCCTGTAAGCTCGGCATGACACACATTCGTAATGTACTCTCAGAAAACGAAGGTAAATAAACAAAGACGAGCGGTCGATTCCCTAGACTCCAGTGTGTATAGTGACACTCGTCACCGCGACGCTATACACCGTACTCGATCAGATTAGCAAATGCATTATGAACTCCTAAATCCTATTCCCAAGCCCAAAGTTGTAGATTCAAACACTTACCTCGGTCCGAATAGCAATCAAGCCTCTAACACCGCCTGTTCCTTCTAGAATTCGACTCTGAAACGATGAATATCTAATCAAATTAATTCGATAATATCAATGAGGCTCAAACAACATAATCCCATAGCCAGAAATAAATTTCTACATATTGATGCGTGCTAACCACCAAAGAGTGAGACCACTCAGCGGAATCCCGCATAGTCTCACGATTCTACGGTGGGCCCAACATGTCCAATTGCGACACACGGCTCGTGCCAAACACATACATCTATACACACCGACACACGAGTGTCAATGCTAGCGGTAGAGTGTTGTTATCTTGAGAGAGTGCCGATCTGCGAGATCGTAGGGGGATAGGTACCGCCCGCGACACGCGTGACCTCTTCCGGGTGCCCACAATGGGGCTTTTAAATCGGCCACAACAAAAATTTCAAACAGAACGTAACACATATACATCCACACAAAGTCCGTGAGTGTAATTTATACCTTGATTTCACCATGTTTTTATTACGCCTAGAAATTTAGGTGATTAATGAATAAAAAATAATAAAGGCAAACAATGTTAGGATTACTACCGCAACGAGCTGTGGAGGAAAGATGTGAACCATTGCATATAGTCGATCTATGAGGATTTGAGAGAGACGTGTGTGAAGAAATGGCAAAATCCCGTAATGGGCTCACTGTTTTTAGGCTTTAAAAATAACTGGCCAAATTGTTCAGTGACCGCGTTCCGTCGACCCCGTGGTTCGGATGAAGGAAACATGCGAAGGATCGACGTTTCCGGTAGAGGGGAAGGCGAACGCGTAAAAAAATGCGGGGGTCCAGGTTGTTCTAATGGCGAAGCTCTGCGGTAAAAGGCCTCGCGAGACCGTGTATCTATGAAGAGCGGCTAGGGATGGGAGGGGAGCAGCAAGTTCGCTACTGCGTTCGCAACATCGCTGACTGGCATACGCGAAAGGAAGTCCCTCATGGGTCCTGAACTGACTTACCGCTGAATCGCGCTATAGGATGATGTCGAACGCAGTAGAAGGGGAAGAATGAACTCTGCATCGATGAAACTATGTTGTCGGAGTGACTCCGACTACATGGAGTGGCCATAAGTTTGAAATGTGGTATCTACTCATGGCCACTTAGGTGACCGCGTGGGCCAGGGAGGTCTAGCTAGGCCG